ATATATATATATGTTTTGGAGCAGCTAAAAATATACATTCCTCAAAATTTAATAAGAGTAATTTTTTATTTTAAATTTTAAATATTAAAAAAATAATTAAATGACTATTTTATTCACAGTGAACTCTATATTTTTTGGGTAAAAAAGATGAATGATTTTTCACCGAGGGCCTTCATTCTTTTGAAGTCATCTACTTTCACTTTGATAGTGAAACCATTTGAAGAGGAAGGGAAGAGGGGTCAAAGGCTGAAAAGCTTTTGCGAGCTTAATTTCTGTACGCCGACTGATTAACTTTTACATTATTATGTCATATAAAAGATATTTCTAAGTCACCGTTTATAAAAAAAGAGATTAGTATTTTTTTTTAAAAAGTAACCATTTTGTGTTAGTGTATTGTGAGTTTAATTTTTATGTGTGTACATAAAATTTTACAGTATTAGGTCATTGAAAGATAATTACGTGTAATCGTGCATAAATAAGTATGATTACTAATCCGAAAATAAGACAACATACCTAGTAATACATACTACAATTCACCAACAATATAAAAGTTATTTACACGACAGTTGATATAAGTGAAATCTTTTCTTTAAGAATCTATAATGTCGTCGAGCCTGATATTATAACATGATTCTCTACTACTCCTTAAACAGTGACTAATCGATCAATAAATTTTTTTCTCAACTAATTAACTGTATATCTTTTATCATTGCAAAGGCATTGAGCAACAACAGATTGCATTGTCCTGTACATAGGGTGATTGTAAAGGAGAACAAACCAAGGTACACATTAGCACATTTCTCATATATTTATGGGATGATACAAACCCCAGAAGAGCTTGTTGATGAGAAACACACTATCAAGTTTCAACCATTTGATAACTTTGAATTGTTGGATTTCTTTGCCAAACATATTAACGAGCAAATGGAATACACTGTCAGAGCCTTCTGTGGGGTTTGAAACGTTTTGTGAAGCTTTAGAAATCCCGATTCGCTCGTTCTAATCTTTAGCCACTGTAGATCTGTGATAAGGCAAGTAACTTGCTATAATAGGTTAAATTATATCGATGGTAATAAAAAAATTATTTCACTGTCGATGGATATAACTTATATCCATCTGTACAGTAGACATATCAAAATCCTGACTATGCTCTTAGTTATGTACATCTCAAAAAGCTGAAAGTATCCATCTGATCAGCTGAAAAATTCATGTGTACTTGTCTTAGCTAATTTGCACAAATAGACACTTAATGTTGTGGCTTGTATTTAGAAGCTGGTCAGTTTTTCAAAATTAGAGCATACGTGGCCTGAAGTTCAAAAGTGACTACTTGATCTGAAGTTGAAATTTCAAAACTATATTACGAGTCTAATTTTGAAAAAAATGGTCAATTACTAAATATAAGGCTACAAAAATGACCACCTAGTCCAAATAACAGCACAATATGTGGCCCTTCCGACGTCCAGAGGTTGAGGAGTGGACCAAAATATATTGTTATTCTCCAATCTTTTGGACTTGAAAAAGAAAAAGAAGATAATTAAGGTGTTTTTACTAGGGAAAAGTGGGCATCATGAATATCTAATCTACTGATAGTAATTAATTAACGCACCCAATTAACATTTTTTAATATTTTAGAATTGTTAAATTAAATAACTTATTATGTCCTAGTTTCCTTAGACTTGACAAACCGGCAATAATTAATAAATTTAGGTACAAACAATCGATTCGTTCTAAAAGACTCTATCACTTTATTAGGTCGTATTAGATTTTTGTCAAAGTTACCAGTTGACATGAATTGATACAAATTAAATCAAAACTGCAACCTCTTCGAATAGTAGTATATTTTTATGCACTATAATTTATAAGTAGATTAGCATCTTGATTCTCTAATCTAATATATAAAGTCAATGAGTTCCCCATGGAAAAGCCGCTTCCATCTTACACAATATTGATAGGGTACTAGAAATATGTTTCCGCCAATGTTTGGTCTAACTTTTGACAGCCAAATAAAAATATTTACTTTGAAAATTGTAAATATTATACTGCCGCGTGGTATTTGCAGGTCTAGTTTACAATACGTAATTATTGCAATTTGAGTTGACGCGACCTAATTTAAACAGTCCATTGTATTAACGGAAAAGGGCCTAAACTACCCCTATTGTTTATTAAATGGTTTATAAATACCCCCGTCCATCTGTCCGTCCAAAAAAATACACCACGTTAATTCTATTAATAAAATTACCCCCGTGACTAACGGCAGAACTGGTGGGCCTACAATTTAATGACGTGTCATTTTTTTACTGGGCCACGTGGCAATCTCGGACAAAAATAAAAAATAATCTTATTTCGACCCACTTAGCTGACCCGACCCAATGTCTTTCCCATTTTCCCAATCTTCTTCTTCATTTCACCCAAACTCTCTCTCCGCCACTCCATCACCATAGCTACTGCTCTCAACAAGCAAATTATAATGCTATGTCATAAAAATGAAGCGAATACATCAAATCATACACAAGTATCCTCAGTTCTCAGCCCCAAGATCAAAGAGGATGCATTAGTAAATTAAAAGATCAACCCAGTTGTTTTCATAATCTGCCAAAATTGAAACAAGAGGATGATCATGCTCCTCCTCTTGTTATAGGCAAAAACTCCATTTCCCTTTGCACCATAAAACCAAAGCTTTCTTCACTTAAACTTGGCAAATCAATCAATGGTTCTGATTTAATACCATTGTTAAAGCTCACGTCTTTACTGTTAGTTTCAATATTTTGTTGACTTATAGTCAAAGAATCAAGATCATCAAAACAAAGACTTTTTGTTTCTGTACATAAAAGATTTGAGGCTACACAATTATGAATGTTTTCAGCCATTAAAGCAATACAAAAAACCCTCAAATTTACTATGCTATAATTATACCCCTTTTATCAAAATCTTATCTTTTTACAAAATTTAATCCCATTTACATGAGATTGTTTAAGGCTCCAATAAAAAAAAAATTTAAGGATTTTTCAAAGAACAGGAAAGAGACTAAAGAAGGGAGAAAAAAGTGATAGTTAGGGTAAAGGAGATATTTTGGGGGAGAGAAGATGACTGCGGATTCTATAGGATCAGCTAGGTGGGTTAATGTAATTTTATGACCCAAATAACAAAATTTTGGGTCGGATAAGGTAAATGGGTTAAAATAATATCCATTTTTGTTCCACTCAGATATTGCCACGTGGCCTAGTAGAAAAATGACACATCATTAAATTGTAGCCAACCAGTTCTGCCGTTAGTTGCGGGGGTAATTTTATTAATAGAATTAACGTGGTGTATTTTTTTGGACGGATAGATGACGGAGGGTATTTATAAACTATTTAATAAACGATAGGGGTAGTTTAGGCCCTTTTCCGTTGTATTAATAAACAACTAACTGATTAAGGTTGCAATTTAGTACCACTAAAAGACATTCATGATATTTTGTTCTTCAAAATAATGTCATGTTATAGAAGACCTATTCAAAGTTATGTGTCACAGTAATTGTATACGGTCGAAATCAGGTATGCCCGATTTTCAGAGCTCGAGGGGTCGCCTTAAGCCCGAATTCAGGATAGATCGAGTTCGAGCTCGATCACAGAGTACAAGGCTCAAAGAATTAAGTGTTCGAGGAATGTCGGAGCCTAATATGACTGACCTCGAGATACTGCCGTTATGGATTTGTAACAGAATGAGCAAGATTCCTGCCACGTCCCCAAGATCATGGCGTAAATCCCGGAATAGATATGTACGAATCTGTACTAGGCGGTTAGACAGCTGTCCCAATAAAATTCTTTATTGTAAATAGAAATGTATCTTATTTAGGGTTCCCCTATTATATAAAGGAGACCCCAATCATTTGTAAAGATCATCTAAACATTGGCAAATATAGTCTCTTACTTTTTCGCTCATTGTTCATCAGAATTATCCTTTAGCTTTATTATTCTTGCTTTATTGTTCTTGATCCATCTCGAGGTCACTTTGGCTCGAGGTCGATACTGCCTAGCAACACTGATTTGATGTACCCATTTCTTTCATTTATACGTTATACTTCTTGATATTAGTATTGAACTAAATCACGTATCTTTAAAACCACAAATTAAATTTAATTGTTACTCGTATTTTCGAGGTAAACAGTTTGGCGTCCACCGTGGGGCTAAAGATAATAGTTTTTATTTTGACACAAATTCTGATAAAGCACGTTATTTTCACACTTGTTCTTGTCAAAGATTCTTTGATTTTAGGATAAAACATGTCAAACTCACAGCATGCACCCGTACACGATGCCTAAAGTTATCAGGTGTACAAGTGTCGCGCCCTCTTTTTTCCCCCCTTTTGACGGGGAAGTCCGGGTTTCGACATTCATGAGGGTAATAACTCATTTCCTTTTGGGAATTTGGATTTTTGAAGAGTCGCCACCTAACGGATTATGGTGCGTTAGGGCACCTAGAGTGCTTAACTCTTAGATTGGTTTACATTACCAGAGATCCAGGGTAAGGGCTCGAAATAACCTTGAGGGGAAGGTATTAGACACCCCTCTCGGTCCACAACGGTGGGTCCTGGCCGAACTTATACTTACGAATTATTCCTTTGAACAGTAGACAGTTTAAACACATATTTGCAAATAAGGGGGCAGGTCTTGGACATTATATGACTCAAATGAAGGAAAGACTTGAACAAATTGCGTACATATAGAAAAGTAAAGTTTAAGCAAAGGGAAATTGAGAAGGAGGGGTCCTAGGTTGGTTAGCCTACAGGATCACCCCACGCAATGCCCGGTAAACACTCCTCAATGAGGGGCTACACGTGACATTAACGCGTAGTCATCATATCCCTTTCTACCCAATTCCCTCCCCTAGGTCATAGCCTAAAGCGTTCTAGTAACCTTGACAATGTCCTATGCGTGCACTACCCGTCCCTTCCTTGTGGCCCTGGAGGTATTTTAGGACCTCTATTCTTTAGACAGTTCTAGACTTTCCTAAGGTTTTAAAGGATAAAAATCTAGGCGTCAATCAAGAGCAGTTAGGACTGCATTTAAAGAAACAAGTTATAGGCTCACAGTTACCTCCTCAAACATAACAAGTGCACGTCTTCAAACACCATTCAAATACTTAAGAGAAAATCCTAGAACATGATATCTAGGTGAGCAGGGGTTATACAGTATTGAATTAGGACAATGTGTGAGAGATCCTATTTAACTTGCCTACTGATTTAAACCTGTTAATTCTGGACGGCTTTAAGTAGCAAAACACAGTTTCAGAGTTGTAGAATTTAAAATCGCCCTATAGGCTTGCCTAAACGCAGAACAGTGATGTCCTAAGAGCATGATAACTACGTCGATGTAGTAAAACAGTGAACAGTTTTAAACGGATATTTGAGATCCTATAGACATGTTTTCTAGCGATAGTAAATTAAGGCAGTGTTTGAAAAAGTCCTGTAAAGGAGCGGACAGTTGATTAAACCAATTTAGAAGGACTAATCATGGATTAACCTGACTTGTTTAGCTAAATTGATTTTAGGTTCTATAGGCAGGATTTCTGATTTTAATTCCTATAGGCATGGTATCTAATTGTTAAGAGCTGATGTTGGAACTTATAGGCATGATTTTAGAGAGGCGAATGTAAATACATGCAGTAGCAGAAAATAAACTCAATCACTTTACACTCTATAGGCATGGTATCTAATTATAAAGTTGATTTTACACCTATAGACATATTTTCTATCATTGAATCCATTTAAATCCTATAGATATGATCTCTAATATTGTGAAAATAAAGCAAACATAGCAAGTGCATTAACACAATCCAATAGGCATGG